ACCATCAATAGTGACGGAAAACTAGTACTCTTTGACGGAATAAACAACACTGTTTGGTCTTCAAATGTCTCTAGAAAAGCAGAAGGTCCAGTGGCACAACTCCTAGATTCTGGAAACTTTCTTGTTAAAGACAACAAAACCATGCAACACGATCAAAGCTACCTGTGACACAGCTTTGATTATTTTATGCCAAACAATAGCTTAGATTATTTTATTTTTATTCTGTTTTTCTTGTCCATTTATCTTTGGGTCATCTTGTTTACCATCCTTTTATGTATCTTTGCAGACCAGGTTACAGAGAATGAGTGGCAAGAAGAATTTGGGTTTTACTAATCCAGATCACCACCATAATATTCCAGGACATGTAAGTTAGACTGACTGACAATAGTGTCAAATACAGATAATGAAGTTTTCAGTCCTCCAAATCAAGAAAGTATTTCTTAAATTTAATTAATTCATTAACTTCCCCTTTAATTTAACACCCATTGTTTACTAAAGACTTCTCCTTCCCAGATTTTTTTATTAGAAAATTGTATTATGCGAGTCAAACAGTTCAAGTAAACAATCACCTTCCGAGGTCTGTTCTCGTATTCACACCTACTATTTCTTATTGTCTAAAGTTTGAACCTCTTACAATACATCCATTTCAACTTTCAAGTTTTTAACAATTTGTAGACCTAACCTGGTCCAAAAGAAAATACTAACTATGTTTTACCATGGAGTGTGCACCAATTATAAGAATGATGGTTGATATTGATGAAAAAATAAATAAATTCAGCCTACAATTCAGACCATTTCTTGATGCTATTGATTTTAAATCTATGCAAAAGACTTTTGAAGTCTTCTAATTTTGTCATGTGGCAGTTGTCTCTAACTGCTAGTGACAATTTGATATAAAACAAGTTTGAATCAAGGCAAGAAATTTGCTTTCCTGGTTAGTGCTTGAGCAAATGATTTGATTCCTTTGGATCTGCATGAAAATGGTGTGACAAACAGGAAGGTCTAAACTTCAATTGCATCTGTATGGTTTGGTTTCTCAATAAATGGAGCTATTTATCAATTTCTTGTTTCCCTTCCCTAGAATCTTATCATTTTCTATCTTCTTCTCATTGGAAATTTTTTAATGGAGGTTCATCAGTTCTTCCCCTTCTTTTGTGCCTTGATTTCTTTTTCAGAAATCTTTCATTTTTCCATTGGTTTAGATACCTTGCTTGAAACGCAATCTATGAGTGCTGGCGTAACTTTAGTCTCCTCAGGCCAAAGTTTTGAGCTAGGCTTCTTTTCTCCTCGTAATTCCAAGAACAGGTACTTGGGGATGTGGTACAAGCAAAACCCCAGAGACGGTTACTTGGGTTGCAAACAGAAACAACCTGATAACTGGTTCACATGGTTTTCTAACTGTTACCAAAACTGGACTAATTCTTTCCAAGCACACAAATAGTGTTGTTTGGTCTTCAAATACAACCAAAGTGGCAGAAAGTCCAATTGCACAGCTCTTAGATTCTGGAAACTTTGTTGTTAAAGACAATGCCATGGTGAGCTCTGATTCTTCTGAAAGTTTCCTATGGCAAGGCTTTAACTATCCATCCAACACCTGGTTACCCAGCATGAAGATCACAGATGACTTCAACAAAGATTTGACATCATGGAAAAGCCTGGATGATCCATCTCTAGGGGACTATACCTGTAGAATCGAACATCCTGAGTTACTTCAAGTGGTTGTAGGTATGGGATCAATCAGAAAGTTCCAAACTGGGTCATGGAATGGACTTCAGTCAGTGGTCTTCTTCCATTCTCTGATCCATATTTCACTCTCTAGTTAGTATTCAACCAGGATGAATTGGAGTATATGTATCAACCTGAAACTGACTTGGTTAATAGGAGGATAAGCCTTACTAATTCTGGTCTACTTCACTATTATGTGCTAAATAATGCAACTACAGAATGGGCCATGATCTACACTCAACCAAATGATGTTTGTCATAGTTATGGGAAATGTGGTGCCAATAGCATCTGCACAATTCAGAAAGAACCAATTTGTGAGTGTTTGATGGGGTTTACACCTGCAGCAACAGCAGAATGGGAACTGCTTAATTGGTCCAGTTGATGCAGAAGGTGAATGCCACTGATCTGCCAGAATGGAGATGGATTTTTCATAATTTCACGGGTGAAATTGCCTGACTTGTTGGAGTTTCAGTTGAATAAGACTTATGAGCACAAGAGACTGCAAGAAAGAGCGCTTGAAGAACTTTTCTTGCATGGCTTATGCTAATTCAAACATTAGTGGCAAAGGACATGGATGTTTGATGTGGTTTGGGAACCTAGTTGACATTAAAGGTTTCAATGATGAGAATAGAGGCCAAGATATCTATATATGGCTGTCTGCATCTGAACTTGATAAGTACAGCTTTATGACATAGTTCTTATATTACGTATTGAAGTCATAGATTACAATGATCAAGGTACTTGCAAAAGGTTATTTGGTTTTATCTTTATGAAATAGTGTGCAGTGTTGATGACTTATTGTTGGATTGGGTTGTGATAGAATTTAAAGAGTAAAAAGCAAAGCGATCTGATTTATGTATTAGAAAAACAACAAACTGTTCAACAAAATGATAAAATTCTATCATTTTATTTGAATGTTCCTGAACAGTTCAGTGATTCAAATATGAGAAAGAGATTGTCAGTGATCATAGTAGCATCAGTCATTGCTGGATTCTTGTTTGTATGCTTGGTACACTGGTGCATTACATGGAAGAAGAAAAAAAACAAAAGAGGTAATAGCATACTCATCATCCTCTAATTTCTTTGAACAAATTTTTTTATCCTTAATATTGTCCTCAATAATTATTTGCAAGTCTCAGTACCATTTTTATTTAAAGGCCAACTATCTTGGTT